GACATGCAGGGCAGCCATTCCATGCTCATCTCCTCCGAGGAGCAGTTCAAAGTGAGTGCAAGGCTCAGCATCCCGCTGTGGTAGAGATGGCACACAAAATGTCCCTTGTCCTCATCAGGCAGGGACTGGAGGTGACCAGTCAGGTTTTGGGGGCACTCCTGTGCCTGTTTTAGGGTGGTGAATCCAAGGGGAAGTTGCCCCCCTAAACCCTGCAGGTTCCTGTTCTCCCCTGAGCCCAGCTTCTCCTGCCCCCCAGGTGTTCACGCTGCCCAAAGTGAGTGCCAAGACCAAGTTCAAGCTGACAGCACATGAGGGCTGCCGGGTGAGGAAGGTGGCCCTGGTGAGCCTGGCCAGCGCTGGCTCTGAGGAGAGGCTGGAAAACTGCCTGGCCTGTCTGACCAACCTGGGGGACATCCACATCTTCACTGTGCCCAGCCTGCGGCCCCAGGTCCACTACAGCTGCATCCGCAAGGAGGACATCAGCGGCATCGCCTCCTGTGTCTTCACCAAGCACGGCCAAGGTGAGGACACCAGGTGACATCTGTGTGGATGGGATGTTGACCTCACCTGCAGCCCTGTGGGGGATGCCTGAGGCTCGTTGTTGTCCCCCCCGTAGGTTTCTACCTAATTTCACCATCAGAGTTTGAGCGCTTCTCGCTGAGCGCCAGGAATGTGACAGAGCCACTGTGCCGGCTGGAGGTCGCCCGGCTCCAGGACACCTCCTGCCTCAGGTGGGCTGTCTCGGGGGCGTGGGGGGCTTTGCTGTGATGGAACCCCTGTACACCCACCCCATAACGCTGGTTCTGGCCATAACTTCTCCCTGTTTCCTTCCAGCAACAGCTCAGCGGTGACACCGAAGCTGCCGCAGGCGAACGGCACCCACGTCCCCCGCAGCTCTGAGGGCCAGCACTCACCCTCGGACAGTGACCGTGAGTGACCAGCCTGTCCCTGACACACAGCATGTCCCACAGCCCTGCTCCAAGCCTGGCTGTCCCCAGTCCCTCCTGTCCCTGACACACAGCGTGTCCCACAGCCCTGCTCCAAGCCTGGCTCTGTGTCCTGTCTGTCCCCAATCTCTCCTGTCCCTGACACACAGCGTGTCCCACAGCCCTGCTCCAAGCCTGGCTCTGTGTCCTGNCTCCTGTCCCTGACACACAGCGTGTCCCACAGCCCTGCTCCAAGCCTGGCTCTGTGTCCTGGCTGTCCCCAATCCCTCCTGTCCCCTGACTCCCCAGGGTCCCCTGAGGAGCACCCGGCCGCCTTCTCGCCCGGCCCCATCGACTCCCCCAACAGCAGCCTGGAGACCCCGCTGGACACCACCGGGGACATCACCGTGGAGGAAGTGAAGGATTTCCTGGCGTGAGTGGGGTGGGAATGGGGTGAACGGTGCTGAGGGACCCTGGCAGTGCCTCTCACCCTGTTCTGCCCCAGGTCCTCGGAGGAAGCAGAGCAGAACCTGAGGAACACCAGCGAGGACGAGGCCCGGCCCACGGGGATCCTCATCAAGTGAGGTCTGTGAGGGGCTGGGGGTCCCTGGGGTGGGATTTGGAGCTGGGACCCCAATGCAGTGCCCTGGTTTCGTGATCCACTATGGGAGGATGGAGTTGTGATCCCTGGGGCTTGCAGAGGAGGGGAGCAGGGGGAGTGCCTGTCCTGATCCCCACTCCTGCTGAGGATCCGCCTCTCCCACAGGCACCGCCGGCCTCCCTGCCCCATCTCAGTGCTCGGATTCCCGGGATGCGCGACTCGACTGGACCCCCCGCCCCCTCCCCATGTAATGTAGACTGGCTCCTCTCTAACATCTGCACCCCGGCTCCGGCACTCCCCACACCCCTGCCCGGCCCCGGCGCCGTGGGGCACAAACTCTTCCCGGGGAAGATCAGTTCCTTTTTTATACACGGTCGAGTGTCACTGTCCCCTGCTCCAGAGCCCCCTTCCTGGGGGATGCTGCTGCTTCCCCGGCTCCACGGGGAGGGCTGGGGCTTGTGGACCCCCCCTTGTCCCCTGGTTTTGGTCCCTTGGGGCAGTGGGGGGCCAGAAGCCCCCGGGCACGGCCCCCCCGTACCCTGGTCTGTGTTTACATGCCCGGCTCCCTGCAGTTTACAGCCCCGTTCCCTGCCTGCCAGGAGGCTCTGGCTGCTGCACAGGGACTGTCCCCCCCAGGGGAGCCCAGTGGGGACCCCCTGGCTCCCAGGTGGGCAGCAGAGGCCTTGAGCAGCCCGAGGAGGGGCACGCTGGGGGGCCACAGGTGGCCTTTTTCTCTTAGTGGCTTCTCCAAGGGCTATTCTCCAGGTTGGGCTCTGTGCCTGCTGCTCCTTTCTGACACTAATTCCTGCCACGGGGTGGGTTTGGGATGGGATCACGCTGTGGAATCACACACGGGCTCCTGCTCCTGGTCCATGTTGGTGCTGGGAGGGGGCAGATGAGGTTACCCCAGCCCCCTCCTGCCCCAGGCTGGGCTGCCCCACCCTGGGGGTCTCACTGTGCCAAATCCCCCCTGGGCTCTGAGCCTGGCCTCGTCCTCCTGGGGGGCTGTGGTGACACAGGTGGCTGTGGG